AAATATTAATAAAATAATAATAATAAAATAATAATAATAATGAAATAATAATAATAAAATAATAACAAAAAATATATACAATTATAAAATAATAATAAATAAAATAAATACAGACTGACCCTCTTTGAGGCTCTGCACCCAGTGAGTCCTGCTGTCGTGACTCGGAGCGAAAACGTAGAGAATGTTAGCGTCGTAAACAACCTGCACAAAAACACACAAGAAATACTTTGTTTTTCATCTTTGAATTGTGACCACATTTCCCCTCATTGTGTATTATTATGTATTATTTATTATACCCGGCTCCTTTAACTGCGATACGTTCCCGAGAATCATCGTGTTTCAAGTTTTTATTCCAATGTATGAAGTGATGAAGCTAATGTGGCAGTTTAAGAACACCACTCTACTGAAGCATCATGGGAAATGTAGTTCCTAGCATCCTCTCTTTGTACCTGGAAGGGGTATTTGTTCTGGCAGGGGATTATTCCTCCTCCGTTCTTCACGACCTCTGCGCATCTGATCCTGCTCAGCTCGATGGATCCTCTCCTGAACTTCTTCTGCTCATGGAGAGAAATATAACAAGAATATATATTAAAATTAAATCCAAATAATTCCTGAATAATATTTAAATATATGAATGTGATATGAAGTGACCTCTGCTCTCCCGTCGTAGTAGGTGAGTTTGCTCCTGGTCAGCACGAAAAGCCTCTCCTTGTAGTTCAGAGGAGAAGTTCTCTTCTTCTGCTGAGACCGCTTAATGAGCGTCTCCTCCAATAGCAGCTCAGCACTCATCCTGGCCCCGCCCCTGCCCTCAGCCCATTGGTGGAGCTCATCAGAAGGAGGCGGGCCCAAACTGAGCTGAGGAAAAAGTGGATTTAAATAAATTATTATAAAGCAATATTAAAATGTGCTTTTTCTTCCTTTTTTCTTTGTGTTTGAAACCAGTATTTCTGCAGGTAAAGGTCAGGGAATGCAAATGATACAAGTACTAGAATATTTGTCCAAAAATACACATTTATTTAAAAAAAAAGAAAAAAAGATAATACATTACAAAACATAATAATTATGTAAGAAATATGTTAACAATATATAAAAGACAATACCTTAAAACAAAGATGTACTACAATGTAAAACAACTGATAATATGTTAAAATATACATATTAAATATTAAAACAAATATATATATATGACAGTGTAAATACTAATAATAATGTTGAGAATAAGATCTTTGGTTAAGTGTTAAAACGCAAAAGTATCATATTAATAATATATAAATGACCTAATACATTCAGATTTATTATAATAGATTAATCAGTATTTTATATATATTTAAACATAGGTTTATTATTTATTATTATCCTACTTTTATTTATGTTATTTTAAGTATAATGGTATGCTTATACTTTTAAGAAATAAATTGTATTTCGGAACAGTTTTGCTGTGTGTACTTTTCACCACTTATTGGCGCTTTTAAGGTGCGGTGTGGTATTTTCCCACAGCTCCTGAACGCATCACAAGGAAACAAATAACGCACCTGCTCTCAGGTGCTTTACATTTTAGAGTCACTAACATTATAAAACCCACATTATTATAACCACAGGAGAACTACATACAGACTATTATATAATTAAATCATGTGTTTAGATGCTTTTACGTACTTTACGGTCATTTTGTCACTTAGTTTAGTACTTTGTTACGGTAAAGCTGAAGGACTTTGGTCGCAGTTGAGTCAAACCTCAGACTTTCTGCATTTTTTTGGACCGGTTTGCGCAACAGCAGCAGCAGCAGGTCAAATCATAATAAACGTTACGTAAAAGTGACGTAAGAGTTAAAACAAAATGATTTTCTTACCTTTTCTCGTCATTTTTATGCAGTTTTTAATCCGTACGTGTGCGTTTGTTTCCCATGTCACAGCGAGTGAAGAGGCAGGGATTCAGGAAATGAAGCAGAGGGGGCGGACACACAAACACATACACACACATACACACACACACACACACACACTGCGAGTACGAGGATGCGTGTGGTGTCAGAGTGGAAAAATGTTCAATATCAGCAACTGCTACATGAAGTGTGTGTGTGTGTGTGTGAATGCTGAAATGAAAATGAAAGCTTGAGTTAATCATTCACAGCTGACCGGGCAGGACTCTGTAGATTTAGCTATTTTAACTCAAATCTTTAA